GTTGCCAGCTAGCCGAAAGACACACAACACACTTTCGAGAGCAGAAGGGGTTTTTCCAAATATGCTCGGCGACGGTCGTGATGTTCCTGGCAGAAGGGAGCAGAAACTTACGAATAAAAGAGAGGAGACGACACAGGAGTGCACAGCCGCCGTCGGGCATAACAAAGCTCCCCTCGGGAGCTACCCTTTTTGCTCCGATATGGGGCGTAGTTGCTGGGTGATCTGAGCAGAATTCAGTTCATTTAAAAGTTCAAGGTGGATGTAGGGCTTCTACAACAGAACCTCCTCCGCCCAAGGTAAAAGTTAAGGAGTTTGCAACACCGATCCCTCTTTAGGCCTCTACAAACGGTCAAAGAAAACCACGTAAAGGTATTATGGTGAAGTTGGTGAGTGCGCTTTAAGTACATTTTCCGAGTGTTTTTCCAAATATGGAAATGTGTTTAGCATGAAGCTGGAGCGGCTGCTAAGAAGGCGAAAAGAAAATCGGTGAGGAATGGTATCAGTTCTTGGTGAAAAACTTCCAGTTGAAACTGCATCGGTTTCGTTTCCGATTTCAGTACAGCACTTTTGCGTTGAGTCGGAGGTGGCATGCTTACCACGCGCATCCGTCGAGGGTCAAATTTCACCAACATTCTACCCTTCGGGGATGGTTAATTGATACCCGATTCGTTTGGGAGGAAGAAACATCGACTTGTACATCGGTTGGCCCCTGTAGGCTATTATTTCGGCCACATCGAACTCAACAAGCTACTACGATTCTGGAGGGAAGCATAATATGTATTGCATCTGGATATGGGATCGATCAACGGCGGAAGCTTGATCCTTTCTATCCGTGTGCCGCTCCTGGCAATAAGGAGATTCTTCCAAGTTGGGCTTGATCTCAGTGCATAGCCAACTGCTCGAGTTAACTCATTTTCTAAGCACCGGGCTAATCCAGTGGTGACCTTCCTACACGCTTGAATTTTCCAACAATGGGATGTAGCATAGCACCACAAAGCCACTATATTGTTTGGCCTGAATACCGAATCGCCCGGAATCTGTGAATATGTCACTTTCTCCCTTTCGTAAATCGCCCGTCATACATTGCCTGTACCATAGGGCCCAATGAAAGAAACGTCACGCATTCGTAGGCCATCAGTATTAGGTCCACATGAGAGTTTATAGTTGCCAGGTGACCTTTCAGTATGGAAAAAAAGCAGAACGAAACCGACTGAGCCTCCGTCTTAAGGCTCTCCTGTCTTTGATTTCCATGCTTCGGCATTCCCAGACTCTCGAACGCTAGATTTCAGTGCGGAACACATCGCTGGAAATATGGATTGGGCAGGGTTGGCCATAAAGAGTAGATGGCTCTTTTCCTTCAGCACACCAGCTCATTAAAAGTTCTAACCATTAGGATGGGGAAGGGTACAATGCACATTGGGAATTCTTATCTATCAAGTATCTTGCCGAATATTCTGTTCGGAGTCGGGTACGTCTCTCTCTCTCTCTGCGTCTCTCTCTCTGTCTCTCTGTTCTAAAGGGATTCAATTCTCCTATGACAGTGAGATTTCCGAGCCCCATTCGAAGAACGAAGAAAGATAAAAAGCGTCAAAAGCGATGATGATTTGCAGACAGGTCTAAATGCCACGATGCTGCCTGCAACCGACATGATGACAGGGGGCACTGAGATCATGACCGGTACAACAGATGATGACAATCCAGCAAAAATCCAACAAGAGAACGTGATGAAATCGACGTAGTCAATGGCTCGCAGTAGCTATATGACGACATTTTCAAATTGTACAATGAATTCCGTGTTTCATCAATATGACGTAATTGCCTACATCCATCGATATAAAGAATGAACAGCAAGGTTGTTGACGTGTAATCTACTGGTCGGAACGCTCCACTCATTCAACTCCCATTCAGAACTGCAATCTGTGAGAAGGATTCTGCCCCTTCGAAGGCAAACCCTCGATTCGTGTATTGTGGATGTGCGTCCGAATACCGTAATATCCGCATAGACTTGATTGTCGCAGGGGGGGGCGGGGAAATAAGAAAAAAATCATGAGCAACCCCAATACACCAAGAGGGTCCTGGTAGAACCCCGCATGAGATCGAGTTCTTCGATTTTTCGCTCGTTTTTATGGCGCAGCAATAGCGGGTCCTGCTCCAGCGTCATTTTATTGTTCGCGTCCATCCAATGCTAATGCTGGAACAGTGGAAAAAAAGCTAAATACAGTGTAAAAACAAACTCACCACAGAAATTGCTTTTGAGTTACGGTGTGCGGGACAACTAGGGAGGCGTCAGAACTGCTGTTTCGGAGGGCGTCAGTGCCTTCGTTGTTTACTGTAAAGCCGCTTAGGTGAGATAATCTTGAAGACTGAGAACCAGACTGCTTGTGCAAGGAAGTACGCCAACGAATTGCTTGAGCGCGTGGAGTGTCATTGAAGGCAGACCCTGCGCTCAACCAAGTCGTAGGATTACTTCCTTGCTCAGCATAGTCGCAAAGATTGTCCCTTTGTTGATCCATGGTGGGTGACGAGGGCGTTGCGGCAAGTTGCAGCCTCTACAGTAAGCCGTAGGATTTATACCGTACGATTAACCACATATAACTGCAACTTGCAGTAGCTGCAGTGCCCTCGCCACTCATTGTGTAGCCACGAAAGTGAGATATCTTTCGTATGCGCTTGACCACTTGAGCAAGGAAGTAATTCTACGAATTGGTTGAGGGCGAGGTCTGCCTTTATGTACTTTGGCGTGGAGTACAGTTAGTGGACGCTCAATCACCACTTTTCCTCCCCGAAACGTTTGGTGTTAACCACACCGAGGAAAGCGCATTAGCTCTTCTTCTGCTTTGTGCTAGTATGCCTCATTTAACGATCGTTTGTCGCCATTTACGCTGCATATCCCGGAGATGTGGGGGGAGAGGAGAGGGGCGGCAAGGCTTCTGGTAGCATGTTTTTACTTTGGGACTTGGAATCTTGTTTATGTCTTGCACGTGACGGGATGACGTTTGTCCCGAAAGGAAAGACCCCGCGAAAAATGCATCCTACGCCATGTTCAAATGAAGTACGCACCCACGACCTTACTAGGTATGTGACAAGACAGTCCACAATATGGACGTTGTTGGGGTGGCGAGTCAAGTCGCACGCGAGTTTTCAGGTCTGGCCTTCTGGATACGAGTGTCCAAACGACGGAAAAATATGATATCGCGAGTTGCTCCAATCGACAAACGAATGCACAGCTGGAATTCGCTGCACTTGGCTGCACGCCATGCCGCGAGCGATGACGCGAATAATTACGACTGTGTTGCCCTTTTCCCTCCTATGGAGTGTGTGTGTTTGAGCCATCCACTTCTTATGGTACAGGCTGGAAAGCACTAAAAGTTTTATTACAATTTCTAAAGTTTATCTCGAAGAAGGTAGCGTAGCGCAAACCATGCAGAGCCCAAGACAATAGCTGTGCCCATGGCTATGTACGGGGAGTGATCGTAGGCGCCTGAAATGAAAAGAAACCACAGAGTAGCTAAGTCCAAGAATTGTGTGTGATAGAATAAATAATTAGTTCAAGGTGGTCGATCTACCTTGTCTAATCTGATCGAAGATTATCATGCGACGAGCCCCACACGATGCACAGTAGCGGTCAAGCGGCCTGAAAGCAAAAATTGAAAATTAGAGAAACTGTGGACCTTTGCTTTATTAAACAGCCGTAATCACGCCGGATGAGGCTGGCGGTACTTGTCAGAAGGCAGACGAAAAACATTCAAGGGGGATCTGTGTAGCGCATCTTGTGCATTAGCAAACGCGAAGAAACAAGCAAACTCTTTTAGGTCACAACTTTACGTCCCAAACGCCCGCCACGCCCGCCCGCCCACAAATGGACGACCGTTCCTGACGCTCGTATTCATTCATTTGCTAAGCAAATTATGAAGCGAAGGGATTGGTATGAAGCCGTGATGCTGCATGCATACATGGGTACACATATGCAGCCGTATCTTCGGTAGCGGTGATTGGCAAGATGCCTACGGGAAACTCGTCCGAAATCGATTTTCAAGTCACTGAGAACGGAGGCTTTTTCTTCGCAGGATTTTGACCGTTTCACTCCGTTTTTTCGCCATTTCCCACATAGCGCCCCTACAGCATTTTTAGGCCGAGTAGAAACCATGCGTGCCAACTGCCCTTGAATGCCCTCTCTGCTTATTCGTGTTCTCCTTCGGCATGGGTTTCGATCTAGCTTGTCTACTTGTCTCTGCACTAACTATGTTTGCGTTTTCCATTCAATAACGAGTAACAAGTAAAGAAATGGGTAGGGTTGCGAATCCTTCTATTCTATAAACCAGTAACTTTTGTGTGTCGGTTTGTATGTATGTAAGTATATATGTATGTCTGTCCGTCCGCAAAATGCTTCACGGGTTAGAATTAGTGGAAGGAAGAACGACCGCTGAGCAAACCGGAAACCGATTGGTGCAGATGTATCAAAGCAATGTTTTGAATAGGATAACAGCCTCCGCTATATAGGACAACACTAATTCGCGTTACACTCCGACCATTGCTACGGCTGCTGGCATGGCAGCCTTGGATGTGCTCGTGGGGTGCAGGCAGGGCGGCAGGTGGGGCCGAAGGGCGCGGGGGCACGGGTGCCCCGAAGGGGGAGGGGGGGGCACCGAGTGACCCCTCCCCTCTGCTTCCTTCCCCTGCACGTGCTCAGCGGGACATGAGCATGTGCAAGTGAAGGAAGCAGAGGGGAGGGGTACGGTGAGGGGGGGGGGGTAGCGCACGCTCGAGTGGAAGCACGCAGCAACAGCAAGAGATGAGAAAACAACCGCCAGAAAAATTTCAAATTAATCCTACTATATATAATCCGCTAAGTATGTCTGTGTGTGTGTGTGTGTGTGTGTTCGTGTGTGTGTCACGAAATTCATAGCGCCCGTCCCAATAGCAGTGAGACATTGATTTCAAGAAGTGATGTAGGGGTGTGACGGGAACACTATTGGTGGGTGACAGGAAGTGATATCAGTTGATAAGATTCGATAAGAGGCGTTAGAAGGGGAGGTCACCATATTCATAACGCGGGTGACAGCATCAGCTAGCTCTTGATTCTAAGATATGATATAGGGTATGGGCCAAGAACATCATTAGTGGGTCACAAAAACTGTAAGCTGCTGATAAGATTCGATAAGGGGCGTTAGAAGGAGAAGGTTACCATATTCATAACGCGGGTGACAGCATCAGCTAGCTCTTGATTTATGATATAGGGTATGGGCCAAGAACATTATTGGTGGGTGACAAGAACTGTAAGCTGCTGATAAGATTCGATAAGGGGCATTAGAAAGGTGAGGTCATCGTGTTCATAGCGCAGGTCACAGCATCAGCGGTGCATGCGTTTCAGCAAGTGATATAGAGGGTGAGATGGGGACATCAACCGTGGGTGACTGGAAGCGATAACTACTGATAGGGGCTGATAAGAGAAATTGCAGTCGTCGTCGCTGTTCGAGGTGGTTCACGCTACCAAATCTCAGAGATTTGGCGATGAGGACATTGGTGACAGGTAATCTTATCAATCGATAAAAACGGATAAGATACCATCTGCGCTACATTTTTATCACTTCTTACCGCTTTAATACCAAGTATTAGAGGCTCAGTACGTGAACTCTTTCCTTCGATGTACGGTATCAGGGTCG